CTACTTGCAAAGTAACGAGACTTTTATTATTATTATTATTATTATTATTATTATTATTAATTTAGGAATCTTAGCATACAGTACTGCAGGATCAGGCAGGATCTGCTTTAATGCAATGTATTGTTTGTGCATAACAACTCCTTTTGACTCGTTCATTTGTGAAAAAATATCAATTGTGCATACTACACAACACTTACTGTTGGCCTCACAGTAGTGCTGGTAAGAATATCAATTAAACGTTCTTCAAGCATCAGCGAGAGCAACAGCTGTTTCGGCTCACATCTCATGTATAGTGACGAAAGCTCCAATTTTTTAACCCATCCTAGCAGACAAAATTTTATTGAAGCCAACTGTTTAAACTGTTAAAGCTGTTTTTTTAATGCCAATGATTCTTTGGTGGCAGTGCTATAATGGCTGCTGCTGTAGTGCTACTTGGATAAAGCAATGAGCTCGTGAGTAGAAGAATTAGCTGCATTTATTCGTTTGTGTTAGAGTAATAGCGCGATTAAGTATTTGACAAGAGAGAGTCCCAGTTCGCAAAATATCCTGAACATAGAAGTTGTATTTCTATGTTGCGTGTCCAGACTAAAAACAGCGGCAGTAGCAACTTCTTCTACACCACACAACCTTTTTTTTCCTCCCGATGCCATTTCATCCACCGGTACTTTTAAATTTTGTTTACTTATCGTCTCTCCTTTTGGCGCGATGCACAGCAAACAACACCATCCTTCTGCTGTGCTCTGTTCGTGGAGGGTCAGCTGCAAAGATTATCAGTTGATTAACTCATTTTTTTGCTACTTATACTACAATTTTCGGAGATTAACTAAGTCAATGGATTGACCAGCTACCTAGTGAACTTGTGAAAAGTGACCGCCAATTACGCAACAGTAAACGTGCAGCTCATGCAAAAGAGGTGTACACTAGGTATATCTATTTGGTCATAGTCATCCGTAGCCCCTCCTGAATGTTTATCATCATAAAGATTATGCAGTTTGACAGTTTTCTATGAACAGTTCTGGCTAACATTTTATGTTTTTTGTTTTACTTCTTTTTTAATCGTCCAACAGTGTTAGTGTTCTTTCACACTTTGCGAGCTGAACGTCGTACAACTGTATTGTAATAAAAATATCGTTATCGTGTTTCTACTGGTGTTGGTGCTAGTGCTGCTGCTGTTGTTTCTGCTAACTTGTCTACGTCTATTTCATGTAATTTATGTAGTCGGACCGTGTGCTGTTGCTGCTCTGCTGCTGTCGCGATACTCTTTCTTTTTTACATGTATATATATTCGAAAATAACCAGATAAACGTGAGCAAACGATCATCTCGCGGCCGCATCCCATTCCAAGGAGTTATTTCGAGTCAACTGCCTTTACCTTAATATTTGTAATACTTAAGTACTCACTTCATACCTTATACTTGCACATTTTTTAAAATACACTCTGTGTTTTAATGTAACAAGAAATCATATTTTAATCCTCTTCTCCCATTAGCTTTCGTTTTCTTGACTCGATCTGTTGTGGCTGCGAATTTCGGGGTTTCCTATATTTTTATTTTTCGTTGAAGGAAAAAAAATTGAGCTTGCTGCAAAATTATCGTCCAATATTCGACGATATCGACATCGTCGTGTTGAGTAATCGGCTGTTTACAAACACATTTTGCGATGTGTGATGCATAATTTCATTTTAATGGATAAATTTGTTTTCTATGTCTTACTTAGAGTATGAATACTTCTTGCTACTTAATGCTAATATTTAAACTTTCATTTGAATGATATGTGGATATTTTTTTTTGTTTAATCCCTTGACCTTTTTTTTTATTTTGTGTTTTGCAATTACTTACAAATAGGTTAAGTTGTGCTCATCTCCTAAACTTATTAAAAAGTTGGCTTTTATTGATCATACACATATTTAATAAATTTATTTAATTAAAAACTTATTCATTCTCTCTTATATAAGATCCATCAGCTAAATGTTTTCTTTAAATGGTGGACGTTCTTTGGTGCGGGTGTGTATAATACGTGTAAATATGTGTTATAGCTGGCCTTCCATCTCTGTCTCTGTCTTGTTCGTTTTTTTACACCAGACCAGCAGCAGCAACATCNAAAACTTATTCATTCTCTCTTATATAAGATCCATCAGCTAAATGTTTTCTTTAAATGGTATGTTTGTGAAAAAATAATCAAATTTAGGAAACAGTTGTGAAATTACAAAAAAAAGGATACTACAATTAATTTCATAAATTTTCACAAAAGAAACAAATTTATTCATTAATTGATAATATATTTTTCCAGTAAACGTACATTTGTTATCATTTTAATTGACATGCATTTTTTTTTTTTTTTTCAGATTGCCAGATACAATAAGAAAATTCAGACACACTTCTTTGCAAGAATAAAGATTTTTGTAAACTATCTGAAGTGAGTAGTTTTACATAATCATCCATGGTATTATTACAAATTGCATTTTAGAATAAGTAGTTTATAACTCATTTGTAACATAATTTATTAATTTTATCATTTTTTGCCATACCAAGTTGGAAAATTACATTTGTCATACAATTACAGGAATCCGGATCTTTAAAAAAAAAGAGATTTTCTTGATTGTTAAGCACAAGAAGACAACGAATAAAATGTCAGTATTGAATCAGAGTGGAGATGATGTGGTTGAGTGTCCACTATGTATGGAGCCACTTGAAGTTGACGACCTAAATTTTTTCCCATGCACTTGTGGTTATCAAATCTGTCGATTCTGTTGGCATAGAATTCGAACTGATGAGAATGGACTGTGTCCTGCATGCCGTAAGGCGTATTCTGAAAATCCTGCTGACTTCAAGCCCCTCTCAAAGGAAGAAATTTCTAGGTATGTGTCAATTGGTTGCGATCTATGAGTCAAATTTATCATCTACTCTGAACGTCTATTACTCATAATGTGTGATTGTTTAGGCTAAAGGCAGAAAAAAGATTAAAAGATCAGCAACGGAAACAGCGCGTTACTGAAAATCGTAAGCATCTTGCAAATGTAAGAGTGGTCCAAAAAAATCTTGTTTTTGTCGTTGGACTGCCAATGCGTTTAGCAGATGCTGATGTACGTGAAAGAATTCATAATTATTGAAAAGTTTAATGCTTCACTAAAGTACTGTGCTAAAAAAAAAATTTTTTTTCAGGTTTTGAAAAAACATGAGTATTTTGGAAAATTCGGAAAAATTCACAAAGTCGTTATAAATCAAAGTACATCCTATGCGGGCTCACAAGGTCCTAGTGCATCAGCTTATGTGACATACCAGGTAATGTTTACTACATGTCTAACATTCATGGCAAATTATTGCCAGCACTAATTAAAATTAGTCTTTCTTTCAGTAACTATTTTAACGATCAATTTTTTGTATTGTGTATGTATTAGTTACATATTTATTTTCTTTTAAACCTCAACAGCGTCAAGAAGATGCTCTTCGAGCGATAGAAGCTGTAAATAATATAGTGGTAGATGGTCGGACGATAAAAACATCCTTAGGTACCACAAAGTACTGTTCGCATTTTATGCGCAATCAAAGTTGTCCAAAACCAGATTGTATGTATTTACATGACCTTGGAGACCAGGAGGCATCGTTTACGAAAGAGGAAATGCACCAGGGCAAACATCAGGATTACGAAAGAAAGCTCGTGCAATCTCTACACATCAACACTGCGTCACAACGGTAAAGTTAATTACACGTAATAAAATTAATTTTAAATAATTCTACTTGCAAAGTAACGAGACTTGAATTTTTTAATCTCTTCAGCAAACCAACACCTTCACCACCTGTGACTGGAGGAGTCGTGAGAGAAAATGGGCCCAACACCCAGTCCAAAGAAGCGTGGCCATCGTTACAACCAGGCCAAACAAAAGGTGTCTTGAACAGTTGTTGTATAATTGTCTTTAAAATTTATTTAAACGCTTCTTGCTCTCATCCACAATAATGTGAAATCCATTTATGTTACAGATATTCAACCAAATTATAAAGAATCAACGTCATCCACACAAACAAACAATGTGGTAATTAATGAAAATTGTACAAATGGCACTGCGCAAAACAATTCGGCATCGTCGTCGCAAAAACAGAACAATAACAATAAAGGGGAAAGTGGTGTGAGTACCAGTAGTTCCTCACGGCGGGGTAAAAGTAACAGCGAAAGTAAAGCTCAAGCAGCGCGGAATAAACACAAAAATTCACAAAACAAGGAAAAACATAGTAGTACAAAAACCCCGTCGCGATCCGAGTTAACCGCCAACAATGTGATGCACGGGCAAAATTCGATGCAGCCTCAAATCAATGGTCAAAATGAAGTTGTGAATTCTAATGTTGAATCAATACCCGTGACTACGACGACAATACCCTCGACAATGATGACTTTGAACAGTGAACTAGTGGTACAAAAATTAAGTGCTAAATTAAATACAGATCCAGTTAATCAGCAACAGCCTCAACTAACACAAATAGTCTTACAACACAAGACGTCAAAATTAGTGCAACAAATCCAAGATCTCAAGATTAATGGCATTGTACAAAACGGAGATCAAAGTCACACAGAAAGTCTTGATTTCATGGTGGAGATCCAAAGAGAGGGTAGTACACCAGCAAGTACAGTATCTAGTTCTGAAGATTCCAATGCAAATCATCAAGTGGAACGTCTAATTGAATCTAATGAAGAAATAAATAACGCAGCTATTTTAGGTAAGTTTTATAAAACTATGAATTTTATTAATTAATGTTATTCACGTACTTTGATAATTTTAATTCGTTTTCTATTGACTGACATTATTTTTTTTTTTTTTTTATATTTCTTTTATACTTAAATAGCTTTTATTAAGCCTGAAATTTACAAGTTCAAGTTTTCCAGTCGAATTAATCCAGAGATGTTTGAAAAAATTAATTTTTAATTCGGACAGAAGTATTGATAATTTTAATGTCACATTACTATAAACATGAGACAAGTTGTTTTGTTTGTAATATTCACCTTAAATCAAATTTATTTTGTCATTAAATAACAGGTACTTCCCCAGCAAGTACAAATTCATCACAAAGTTTAAGTCAACAGCCACCCCCAGGATTACATTCCACAAATATTGTTAGCAGCACTCAAGCGCAACAGATCAATTGCAGATCTATTTTTCAATCGGATAACAATAGTTTCTTTAGTTCAAATACTTTTCAAAAGATTCCTACCAGCACGACGTCCACTCCTCCAACGTCACAAACAGGTGAAGAAAGCTGATATTTTTAATTTAATCAACATGATTTTTGTTGAAAATAAATGTTACGTTAAAAATTGATATCAATATTGTTTTAGGAAATGCAGGAGTTGATTGGGCGAATTCAGGAATCGCACCAATCCCTGATTCTTTACCTACAGTGTACTCTAGCGAAAATTGGCAAGCGGCTTTTGGCTTCCAGACCGAAATCACGCCACGGTCTTCTCTTCACATTTCGCCTAAAACAAGTCCTTCGCCTCCTCCCCGCATATCTTTCAGTAACGAAGATTTTGTCAATACTGAGGATACGTATATGAATGCAACTCACTTTAATACTTCATTAACGGAAAATCCGGCAAATAGTATAGCATCCAGTCTGCTTGCTAACACACCCGCATCGAAATTTATGACGGACTTCCAACAAAACTCGTTACAACCGAGGTTAGCCATGCAGGTGAGGCTTATTTTTATAATTTTTATATCCTGTCATTCTTACAATTACATGCTTTTTATAATGATGAACAAAAGTCAAATTTAAACTAAATGGTTTTTAAAAATTATTTATGCAAGATTTTAATCTTTTTTTTTAATCTTAAACTACCACACTATTGATTCCGAAAAAGAAAAAAAAAAAACAACAACCACAAGAAAACAAAATACCAAAAAAAAAATCTGTTATATCATTGAATTTCCAAAGAACACTCAAAATCAAGAAAATGGTGATTATGTGAAGCAAAATGGACACGCGACTCTAGGTGAATTGCACAAACAACAGGAACAACATCGACAAGTAAATTCGGAAGTGATGAAAGCTGATGATGACCTGGGTTTTGATCCATTCCACGAGACGCAAAAAGCTTTGGCAGAACTCATGGAAAATGAAATACAGATTCAACAGCAAAGGTTGTTTCAACATCAGCAACAGCAACAGAGAGAGCGAGAAGAACAGACGAGAGTACAGCATCCACAAAATTCGATTGGTCTCGCTCCACATCATTTTCCTCAGGTATCTTTACTAACTTAACATTTTTTTTCAAGTAAATTAAGTTGCAAAATTCTATCTGTTAAACTTTGATAATAAATGTATTTTCATTGTACTGCATAAGGAAATGTTCAGAGTATGACTAAGGCTTAATGAAAAACACTATGTTCTTTGTTATTACTTTCTCTACACACGTTATGTACTCATTAATTTTGGTGAAATCATTTAGGTGACTCATCTAGCACATTTACAACAACAGCAACAGCAGCAACAACAGCAACAGCAAGCTGCCCACCTACAAAATTTGCAAGTTCTTCAACAGCCTCACTCGCTGATTTCAAGACTGCCACAATCGTTGCTGCAGCCACAACAGCCACCACAGCAGCAGAACGGAGGTGCGCAAAGTCCAGTTCAAGGATCAGTTACTGTTGCCAGTCTTGGACAAAGAAGTAGGTTACCACCTCCAGGATTCCCAAGCTCGACGCCTAATCACATGAATTCTTTTGGCCTCGGCATTCCTCGGCCAGCTCCTACTGCTAACACTCTTTCAGGTTGGCATCAAGCTATCTAACTTTTTAAAAAATCATTATTATTTAATGTTATGTTAAGGAAACGATAAACGAAAAAACCAAGTAGTTGAAATGGCGTGAGTGAGGATAGCTTCGCTAAAATAGTTCAACCATTAAAAAACTTTCTAATTATATAGTAAAAAATATCTACTATAACTTTAAGGTGGTCTGAAATAATTACATAATGTTTGTGTATACATGATTCGGTTTTCAGAATAACTTGGGGTATTTTTACTCAAGTGATTAAGCCCAAATTAGATACTTAACTCCTTCTGCACACTATAACATGATTCACAATAATACTTTCAATAACAATTTATTAATACTGCACACTTGCCTTCACGAAGTCAAATAAATGCTCTTAATCGCAAAAATGGCACAGTACGACAAAAAAAAAATTTAACAATGCAAAGGTACTGATCTTATAAGGAATTAACAATGTTACATATTGTACACAACGGTGGTAAATTAATCAATCTTGCCTCATGTGCAGGGGGTTGTACGCCTTTTAGTGCAGACCTTTATGTATTGCCTTTACTCTTGTTGACAAGCCTTTCTCTTTACAGACTTGCTTATGTCTACAGGTAGTAAAATACTGCCGTTCGTGAGTCATTCTTCTGGAGTCTTGTTCACGGGGGCACAACAGAATTCACAAGCCTCGTTTCTTCAAAACCAAAATCCTCTCCTCAATTCTCAAGGTAATATCACGCAGAAGCAATGATGACGACTTGTGTAATGAACTTTGCCTGACACAATAAATTTTCACAAACAGGAGTTAGTAAATGTGCCAGCGATACGATGTATACTTTAAAAGATTGGTGCGATATAAGTACTCAACAACAACAGCAGCAGCAACAGCAACAGCAACAGCAACAGCAACAGCAACAGCAACAGACACAACAACAGCAATTCCATCACCAGGCGCTTTATCAGAAAGCAAGCTGGAACAACTTTGGTTCAGTTTCGGATTTGAATCCCATTGATCCGGCCATCGTGAGTTCCCGGCTTCTTCCATTCCAGAATGCTACGACTAGCAACACATGGCAGTTTTCTCATGGGCACTCTTCACACAGTGTGGCTCATAGTAATCAACAGGTATTGAAATAGTAAATTAAATTAATGAGCAAAAAATACTTTCATGTGAAATTATTAGGTTTCAATTTTCAGCATATAATTTTTATTAGTTCCATGAATGTATCAATAATAATAACTCACAGCACTGCTGTATACATAAATAGTATAGAGATCAAAAAAATTGCTTTTGCAGGAACAAAACACCAGTCCCGCTCAGCACTGGGCAATGCAACCACCACCCGGCTTTGCTGCCTCAACATCAAGCGTTCCTCTGAATGTCCAGCAGACGACGACAGCTGTTCAAGCGCACACAAAGTTCATCTCAGTGGGATCAGAAATCGAGAGTAAGATACATATTTTAATTAGTATACATTTTTAGAATTGGACAATTAATGAGCAAGTATCTATTGATTCATAAAAAAATGCATTTTTACAAACAGGATAGCCGTTTTCTATGTCAGCATATTATGAAACATTCACCTTAATGCTAATACACACATGCACACACATAAACGACATACGAGCTTATTTTATCATATGAGCATGCTTTATATTCACAATACGTCTTATCTGAATTTTGACGGATGGATAGCTTTTAGTAAAAATATAATTTGTATCAACTCGGGATGTTAGTTTAATGATTGAAGTATTATATTTATGGTGTAGGTAAAATGTCTTCTTGTGACATGCAGTGAATATAGTGGCAATAACGTTGGCTAATACTGTAGGATAGTGCTTTAGTATTACCGAAGACAAGGTCAAGGAAAAGGAGAGGAGCAATGTGATTAAATTTTTATTGCCAATCTCCTTGTAGGCTTCCTTAGCTTGAGATAAAATATTTTAAGTTTTTCTAGATGTCAAACATAATATTAATAATGTATAAGTACTAAATTCGTGAGTAAATTATTTTAATATATATAAATTTTATTTCTAAATTTTGTTGCTATGTTAGTTCTTTTTACCTGGGCTGAACGAAGGTAAGTTCTTATTACGTCAGTACTTAGTAGTCTACTTACTAAAGTGTTATATTTTGTTGAAAGTTGATTTCATGTATATTTTTTTTTTTCCTTCAGATCTTTGATATTGTTACTACAAGGTTTTTTCGAAGGTCTGGCTTAAGAGTTTTTGATGACTTCATAGAGAGAACCTTTTCAATTATGAAGAACGCGAGGTCTTGTTTCGAGAGGAATATTAACGGTTAATGCGAGAAATATCATCTAGTAAAGTTGATGTGTATTGTTCAAGGTTGTTATTTAACAATTTCATTATTTACTTTCCAACCTGTCCTGTTTCCTATATTGATGGACAGTATGGGTGGCAATCCTTTTATATTGGTGAATAACACCGTTCTTAGTTTCAATTGGATAAATTAGAATTTAAATACAAAAAAAAAAAAATTTTAGGACATTTTATGGAATTTGC